AACAATTCTGATAATAATTTAACCCCATGTTAAGCAAATAAAACAATGTCCACGTTCCGAGTCGGACTGTATAAACCCGATTACATAAACACTATTTTGCTGTTGATGTTATTGCGTTAAAAATGGTTTGATATGTATATTGTTGCAAAATATATTTTTTAAATTCTTAACAAATTTAATGTAAACAACGCGCTACAGCATATGGAGATTTGCAGTAGCACTATGGTTTCGGTATAGCCTTTATTGTTGAAAGATATCGGTTTATTTATTGCTTTGATCAGCTCCAAAGTGTAAAATGTGTTCTTTAAAAGTTTCCCCAAATCTCTGCCAAACAAAATCAATACATCCATGTCGATTTGGACATAATTGGGGCATCTTTCCTTGAAGGGTGGTCCCCTAGCTGGCCTTTATCCCTAGCATATAAAGTGATTTGAAAAACGATACCTATATGTTTTTAGAATTAAAATTCCCCTTTCGCTCCCCATTTGCTAGTTTTTGGAGCACACGCAAAAAATGGTAAAGGCCACATTTTCAAAATAAAGCAATCGTAGCGGGCCGACGATTCAGCTTGTTATACAGCGCAAATGTTAAGTGGAAAAAATAATATATAAGCATTAAGGCATATCAAGCAATTTCGTTCAATTTACATACATCTTTATCAAAATCGTGCTCTAAATGGGTCACCATTGTGATATTCACTTAAATACTTTTGGTTTGCCAAATCAGTGCTCAGTATTGTTAAATCACTTTTAAACAATGCCAAGTCGTACAATTTGTCACTTATTATCTAACCAGTCGATGATTAGACTTACAAAGAAACGGAAAATATCAGAGTTAAGCGCTTAAAATGAATATTCCTTGCAAAATCAGACGTAGTTTTTATGACCCATTTTAGAAGCGATAAAGAATTGAAAAAGTTAGTTAAATTTAGAAAAATCTTCATATCGTTTTAAAGCGTGGCTATTTTCACACATACGCATAAACTTGTTGACCTCATAGAAAATTCGAGATATAGTATCTAATGTATATTTCAGTAATTATTACGCTCACACTTCCAGTTCCATTCAGTTTAATTTTTTGCACAGTCGTACTTTTACTTGAATTCGAATTGATTTTAGGCCGAGAGAAATATTATTTTAAAATCCATTAAACCAAGTATTTGAGTTAGTTTAGAAATCGGCCTAAAAATACCTGAGATGCTGTCACAAACAATTTCGATTTTGCAACATTTCAGCTAATGGATTCATTTTTGAACTAAACTTGATATTCACGGCGATTAATCTATTAGTAACCACAAGAAAAAAATACTTGGAATTGATGAAATTTCACACAATTGTATTACTATGTAAGCTGTGAGTTGCAATATTGCAATTTAATCTCCATCAATTTGTTCAGTCAAAATGTTTTGTCTACTGTAGTATGCTTCATATTATAGCAGCAATACAGTTCATCTTTAAATTGAGATATACAGGGTGTCGGGAACTGATGGCCAAAAATCAGGGGGTGATTCTACATTGAAAGTTAGTGTCATAGGAATTTAGATGTTCGAAATGATTTTCCTTGCTTGCTTGTCGATTGTTTTCTGATTTTTTGACCAATTTCTTCTTTTCTGCATCCCTTAATCCCCAAGAGCCACTGGGGTCACGCAAAAAGCTGTTCGTTCGATATATTTTTATAAATAATCGCATTAAAAACACCTTATCGGTTCAACCGTTACTGATTAGCACAGAAATTGGATGTGATGCCGAAAAGGTTATTAATTCAGTTACTAAACGTGAGTATACTATGATTAAACTTTAAACAATAGGCTATAAAATTGGCATCAATATTACACATGGCAAATATTGGCTCAATTACATGACATCTCCGTTCCAACGTTAAAGCTAAAATATTAGTATAATTTATTACAGACCTTTCAAACAAAAATGTATTGCATAGGCCATTGAAAGGCCTTTATTTTCTTCTGCATTATAATAGCGCTGATGACATAATAATAAGCATAATAAAATATTCAACGATTGAAGTTGTGCGGTTTCCTCTGTTTAAAGGGACAAACTTTCTTTTATGTATAGAAAATTTAGATTTATAAAGTTGCTTTGACAGTCTTCAAGTCTGATCAATGTAACAATACCAATGTAACACTGAAAATAAAAATTCCAGGCTTTTAGAAAATCAAGCAGCACAGAATTACTAAAACCAGTGATAAACTACTCATAGCAAGAAAACTTTCTTTTCAAATTCGAAAGCGCCAGCAAAATTCATTTTAAGGAACAGAACTTCAAACAATTGTCTGCTAGCTTGGCAGAAATCTATGGCATTTTAAATTATTCCGCTTTCCTCAGTTTTAGAGGAGGAAAACAGACCGTTCAGTCATATTGCGAAAGTTTGTTTTTTCCTCTAGCTTTACTCGGGATGTAAATGAAGCAACTGAACTTCTATTAAATAAAGATTGAGGTGTTTTTAAGTAAAGATTCACATGTGACATGTTTGCTTGGACGATTCAGCGAAAGTTCTGAGCAAATAAGTAAACAGTCTTCATTCATCATTAACAAACAAGGCGTGTCTCGTAGCGGCAACATGCATGACATTGAAAGATTAAATAAAAAATAAAATTAATACAAATTCTATATTACGAATTCAAAAGTGACGGTTTTACTCATATGTGAATTTAATTACAAACTCAATTGCGTATAAATCGAAATAATCAAATAAAATTGCCAGTGAGTAGCTAGTTATGTAGTTTCAACAAAAGTATAAACATAACATTCCGTGAATCCTATTAGAACTTCTGAAGAAAAATGCTGATATTACATTGTTCTGTAATTTTTTTAGAATCACAGATTGAATTACGATGCGAACAATCGGAGAATGGCCATTTATATTGTTACTGAGATCAAATTTTAAACTTTTAATTGTTGCTTTTAAATTGCCAACGATTTTATGGCTACACATCTTAATTGCTAAGAAGTTCTTCACAGTGTTGTGACATGCCTCGTTTAACTCGACTTAATCCATTACATCAATTCGATATAATCCTTCCTGAGCTCGCACTTGGATCTGGTTCTGATTTCGGATGTTTACATTTCGTTTATTCAGAGCATATAATCGGGGAAGATCTATTAACCTTTTGGTTAATAATTTCTAGCAAAGGTATCACATTTGAACGATTTCATATTACTGGATTGTTTCGCATTAGCTTGATTGATTTTTGGCAAATTTACAAAACAGTTACATGAAGCGATCTGAAATATATTTTTTAATTACACAAGCAATCCACGTGCAGTTTTTTTCAGCTTTTGAATGAACCTTTATATGTGCATAACCCACATTCTTTTTTAAACTGTACTTTATTTTAAACATATTGTGTTTTGGTTGATAAGAAGCCACTAACTCCAATTAATCCACCTTATGTATCTGCTCAATCTCCTGCTTATTTAGGCAGATCGGTAAAGAACTTGACGTTTTAATTTCATCATTAATTTCAAGTTATGTGTATGTGGTCCAGGGGGCCGCAGCTTTAGTGAGCTTAACAACTTTGTGTGGGAGCACTTGGTGGGGCATCAGCATTAACTCTTAGAATATTATTATTTAGGATTAACACCATGTCACCACCCTGATGTCTAAAGGAAATATTCATCGATCTCATTTAAATGAGAGTTTCGTTACTATACTACTTCTGATATAATTTTTCGATAATTCTGGCGCAAATTCTTTTCACATAAAAAAATACCCGATGGAATGTTTCCATGAATCGCTTTTTATCAGCACATTAATGAATAATGCTGCTATTTGTCCAGGAGTCAAATTGACGATAAAAATAGTATTACAAGGTAGCGTGAATTGCATAATTTTTTTACCGAAATAGTTTCAATGTGGTGTAGGTAATGATGATGTTTGGTATGCCAAAGCCACAGTCTATAGAACTTGCTAAAATTCTGCTCATCTGTTCTTCACAATTGTCGGAATCGATTGATGGCTGGTATTTAAAGAGTAAAGTGTATGGTAATAATTAATTACCATTTTAGTAGCTTCAGATGCACATACCACATACGGATGTTCAATGTTACCTTAAAACTCGTGAGTGGGTGGCTGAACAAACCTTCTAAAACCAGCATATATTTTCACAGGTGAAGCGCATTTATTTAAAAATTCATTATCACGTCTTATAAACAAATCTTGCAATGTTAAAGAGGTATAATTACGACGTTCTTTTCAATGATTTGACCTTATAACCACTAAATTTTAATGGCATTTTCAGAAGCAGTTGGACCAACTAATAATTATAAAAATGCGTTTATTAATGGACTTTTTAACACTTTTTCAGGCTGTAATTTTAGATCGAACAATAAAAAATTTCACTGACGAGTCATCCACGAAGCAGGTTTTAATGCAGGTTTTAATGCATCGAGAGGCACAATTTTCGTATTTTGTGCAACAAAATACAGTGTGTTTGGCAATATGTAGGGCAAATTTTATGGAGGTCAATTTCGGCCTTTGTATACTTGATTTTGTAAAAACCAGAAGAGAATTTCAACTTGATCACATTCAGCGCAACTGAGCTGCAGATTTAAGGATTTTCATTGGAATAAACTACCGACTAAAAGTAAGAGTATTATCCTCAATCCCCTTTATTTCTAGAGACAGTTGGATTTCTGTGTTTTACGGAACGGAACTGTACCGGGTAAGACTAAAATTGAAAATGTTTTCCATTTCATATCGCCAACTTAAGTAGACACTGTATATGCACATATGTAACCTGAGCTTATTCAACTCAAATAAAATGAAGAAAACGATAAGAACCATATATTTTGCTGTTCTCAACTAAAAGGCAAATTGAAATGTTAAAGTCCCAATTAAAACAATATTCCTCGCTTTGGAGCAAAATTATGTAAACACGTCTTAATATGAACGCGGTAGTAAGGATCACAATCGTGACTTTTTGAACGCTTAAGGTACTGAGCGAAGAACATTATGTGTGTATGTGGGATTAAAAAATAGCAAAAGTCGTAATATTTTTTATTTGGTTTTACTCCTTACTAACATATACATATACAGGGTGTCCCACGCATATGGGCTGCGATTCTTAACTCGATATGTGGTACGTCTAGTCGCTTATTTTAACTGGAGCACCATGTTGTGTTTAAATGGAGCACCATGCACTATAAATTTAAGTGCGATAAATAACACTGAATCTGATCACTTTTCAAGTTTGAAGTTTTAAAGATAGGGATCTTTAACGGTTCAGGAAAGAAACATGTATGGGCATTTTTCCCGATATTGCCCTAAAGACAAGCATGTTTGGGTTGAAAAATAATCACTTTTCATTAACTTGCCAATACCTGAAATAAGGAGAATTTGTTATGACAACAAAAAACACCTTTCATTGCTTGCTATTAGATTTTTTCCAATATTTATTAAGTTGCCCATGCTTTACGGAAAAAAGAAGGTTTATGTTATTTAACAATTGTAAAAAAATCATATAATAATTGCTAATTAATTTATTAAGAAAAGGTTTTATAAATAAATTGATTCCGATTCAAAGGACCTTAATATTTAAAAAAATTCAAAATTTTCAATAAATTCAAAAAAAAGTGCATGTTGAAAAAGCTCCCTTCGCTTGGTCAAAGACAAACTCGTCTTTATCCACTGCCCATTTATAATAGTTTTTTGTAGTTCAACTAGTTTTCGTTTCGTTGCTTTCATCATTGCAAGTTTTGTAAGGAAATGTCTCAAATCACGGAAATTTAATTGAATTTTGCATGTATTCCTTGCGTGTAAAAAATAATTTATTAATAGAATGGAAGTATTCATAAATAGTAAGTAGTGGGAAAGAATCGTATCGAAAAGCATTTACTTGACCGTGAAAAAGGTATGACAAAACACGCACTTTAATAATATATTCCAAATACCAGCATAATTAACTTACATATAGAAACTAAGTAAATGACTCAAAAATATGTTAATTTTGTAAGCCTGTATTAGCATTGTATTAGACGCAAATTCAAAGGACGTATTCATTATGTAAAAATGACAACGGCAATGACGAACAATAAACAATATAGTAACTATGTAGGAAATATTTTCTGTTGACAACATTGATTCATAATTGGTCGATTCAATTAACGTTTGAATGGTGAAAATAATAGTTTTGACTTTTATTGGCGGTCATAAACATGTTATTGCTAAAGAGTGGATGAGTGGTTTCTTACATCGAAACATACTGATGATAATAATAATTCTTAATAACAATAAAATGTATACAAATAAAAATTTGTATGCAATTATACAGAAACTCTCACCAACAGTCTCAATGGGCAAATACATGATTAATTTGAATTAAAACATATATTGTAAACTATTATTTAAAACTAAGGGCCGATTTTACTGAAGTTAGTCAGGTTACTAACCTTTCGAGGCGTTAAAATTAGACAGTCCCCATGATAGCGCAGGGTTGGTAATGCTGGTGTCCACAGGGGATGTCCCGTACGCTCGAAACATAGCGCACTTAAATTTATCTGCGCGCACTCAGTGTCCAAACACGACGTCAAACCCCGTTCGTGATCGACTAGACTAAATGACAACGAATCCGAATGCAGGAACGTTTTCAACGGATATCACGTTGGTTTAGTGAGGTGCGCGCACAATATTTTAATTTATCCCGCGCACATGACGTAATATCGCATAATGCACCAAACAGCTGTAAGCGTCAAGCCGCGTGTCTGCATACATGGCCGAACATACCCCATTTTCATACAGGAAAAAGGAGGAAAGGCAGAAATTGTCGAATAAATCAAATTCGTTCTACTCCAGAACCTGCAGCCGATCGAACCATGATTTTTTGCAATGCTTTTCTTCGTAAATTGAACTGCTTTGGTCGGTTGTCCACCAAACACCAAAGCCTATATTTTTTCCAGAAATTCAATACAACAAAATATTGGTTCTGGTCGACATGTCAATTATTTGTACTTCCACATTTATCTCGGTGTGCGTGCCGATATACGCTTAACTTGCAACTGAGCAAAAATGTCCAATTGTCACTGTTACTGTCAATACATTAAATACGCTTAATAGGCATGACGACAGTATAAAAGGATCAAAGAAATAAGGGTTTTAGCGAAAAATATATGTTGAAAGGATTCTAAAAATTGACTCATTCCTAATAAAAATGATGGGATCGACAAGATTTTTAATATAATAAAAGTATAAAATGCAGTAGTCGGCCATATTGCTTGAAACGCCAATCAGAACGCATGACGTCACGACCCTTGAAGGAATAACGCAGCCTATGTATCAGCTGTGGTAATAGCCCTATCGCACCAGTTTATTTAATATTTATTCGTGGTTTTGTACTAAATAATCTAAAGAAATCAACTGCTAAAGGAATTAACAACGGTGGAACAAATCCTTGTTCCACAATCAAGTGGATTTCAAATTAATTGAAAATCCATCCAAAATTGTTCCATCAAGGCCAACAGCTCAAACTTGCCCAGAGTTGATATGTTAATGTTGGAGCAGTTCTTTGCATCCATTAAAGACTTTTCTTCGCCTGAGTTTCGTAATGTGAAAACTTCTTTGCAAGTACAATCTAATTTATCTTCATTGCTAACGATAATTTAATTCACACAAGCCTTTTATAACACTTGTTTTTATTTATATCACCTTATTTTTGAAACACACAAAGTTATACAATTTTTTGTTGAAAATATGTGTCAGATTTGCTGTATAAAAGTATAGAGTAGAAAATAAAAAGGCATATATTTAATAAGTATATTTATTTAATTAGAGAATCTTGTAAATTAATTAAACCACACGCTATTGTAATTAGGTACACCATCAAGAACTTTGATCAAACTTATGTTAAGGCAAGCATGTGCTTTTGACATGCATTTGACATAACTCTCGTAACCGCCTGATCTGATCACCCGTTCAATGTGAATCCTCAAGCTAGCTATTTGTTTCCTTAGCTTCAGGTTTAGAAAGGTTACCCATCAAATGATACTCCATATAGTTTTCCATATCATTGGACAGCGGAAAGGAGAATAAATAGTCTATAGGGAATGATAATTGTAAAATTATTAATATAATGTTTATATAATTGATATTTAATCTCAAAAAACATTCTGAATTTCTCTGTCAATCTAAAGCAAATCCTTACATCAAAGTGGTCTTTACAAAAATTAAGTTTTGTATTCCTGCTTATATCTGATGGTTTTCGCATTGCGAGCTTTAGCCATTTATTTCACTATTTTCTTGATTAGATCGAAAACAAACAATTTATTAGATGTTGTTATTGATGTGTTTGTGCATAGAGGACCCGCATAGCACTTGTAAAATTTGGAAGTCATTTTTAACACTCAAAATGTATAATATTTTGTGAACTTCCCTCTTTAAACATAGGCACCGTGCACACTGAATAAGGTCGTGACGTCACAAGCAGACGACATGACACCCACGAGCGTTTTCGCGCATTATATGAAATGGCAAGATAAAAATGCGATTATTTGAGCAAACATATAATTTCTTGCGGAAATAATTATGTTTTCGGATATAGTAGACGTATACCTACATTATACAACGGTCATCTTGGCTATTCTCACTCATTTTGACATTCCTCCAGAAACTAACGTTTATTACGTTGCGATAGCGTCAAACTTCAGTCAAATTGTGCAACGAATACTGTTGGCACCCGTGCCTGACCAACACATTGACGTCATGAGCTAATTAAATACTTGAAAATCCTGTTTTTAATACTCAGCAGGGAAGTAAGGTGGCGCTGCTGTTCAAATGAAAAACAATTACATAAAAAATAACATTCCAACTCTCAGGCATATTCAAGATGTCCGCAAAAGTATCGTATATGAATTCTATAACTGATTTTAAGCAAAAGTTTTTATTTTCCCGATTTTTCAACGGCTCAACTACCAAGAATTTGAATTTACTCAGTCGTATTTGTAGTCTAGAAAAAAATTGTTGTTTTCGTGGTGGTTAACCTGCAGGCAAGTTATGAAGAAAATAGAAGAAAAAAATTAATGAATTGACTTGATAACTCGGAAAAATTCACAGAAATTGCCGTCACTTGCCAAGAAATCAAGTCAATAATTTTTATATTTTTCCAAACTTCCGCACTTCAACAAATTGTAGCAATTTGATGAAAGACATACATTAGTAACATCAAATTTCCGTCTCTCTCGGTAGACAAGTAATAGAAAAATAAACGAGAATTATTTCGTCACTGCCGAAAAGGTTGGGACAGACCAAGGGTTTTCACATGTCCCCATACGAAAAAGTTCAACGGATTCAGTTCTGGAGATCGCGGAGGCCAATCAATGGAACCACCCTGACTCTTTAATCAATTTGAACAATTTTCATTGAAAATTTATCTTACATCTTATGCTGACAACTCTTCCAAATCGGTTGGAGCACATAAAAAAATACCATGGTGCTTCTGATTTCAAGAGGAATGTCCTCAAGTAGTTAAAGCGTTTTCCGAAAACGCTCAATACATATCACTGTTCAAATTTCCTTGAAATAAATGTGGTTGCACAGGCTTCTGCACAGAAAATGGCTCTTGTAAGACTATTCACACCATTCACACCATTCACAACGACGAACTATTTCGATGGAAGAAGTTCTTGCACCAGTTGGAGTAGTCCATTTGCTGCATGTCTTGTGCACGGACGGTTTATTATGTAAAGCAGCTAAGGAAACGTCCATATTCCAAAAATTGTGAACATTCTACTCAACCTTTCCATGCTTGGAAGATGATGATTGGATATCGTTCTATTCTCACTAAGGCTGTGGTACTTCCGTTGCAATAACCATACTCTATTTCATTGTATTCTTCATTTGAAGTCCTCGGGTTGCAAAGATGTACTTCACTATTTATTAAAAAGTACACTTTTGCTTAATAGTCATAGAATTCGTATACGAGCTATGTGGGTCATCTCGGAGATCCCCTTGTACAACACAATATATAACAATCACCAATTAACCACTTTCCGACTAGGACTCCATCAAAAATAGTCCAAAAACAACGTTGAACGAATTTTCGTTACATTATACATCTATGGAAGCATACTGGAAGGAAAAAACCGGCCAGTACCTACATATCAAAGTAAATGGAAATAGATCCATGAATATAATTTTCATTCACGTGAACTAGCCCATCATTGATTGACCCACTTTGGAGTTTATACTCATTTCAGGATGTGGATGAGTCCGATGTAAATATTTGAAATCATCAGGGTTTGTCATGATGACCACAATGGATGAATAATTCGCAAGACGTCCATTTAGAACGGGCGATCTACTGGGAGATTGATAGATGAAACTACCAAAAATCGTGTCAATTAAAAATGTTAATTCAATTTGAAAATTTCTTTAATTCTGACCCAACAAACATTAGCGCAAAACTAACCAAAATTGAACAGAAATGCAACGCTTTGTGTTTGGGAAAATACTTGCCACCACTTTCAGAGCTTAACAAGGCGATATTTCGAGCTTTGTGCGAACAATTTAATTAATGTTTTGTAATTTTCTGACTGGAAAAACGGTTTAAACCGCATCAAAGACCATAAAACCCAAGTGCAACAGCAATTCGAACTATTCAGTACAACTTACTTCATGGGAGACAATTTTTTTTCGTTTTTAACGAGAGAGTATATATGCAACAGTATTTTTTGAAACACGTACAGCAACTGAAGACAAAGTAACATTTCTTCTGTGGAAACCAACAACTTTACATACCAAAAGAATCTATTACCAATAACCGCGTTATTAAAATGTATCAAAAATTTTATATGAGACTCGCTTTTATAGCTTCAACCTTTCCCACTAGAAAACTACTGAAAAAAGTCCTGTAGAACTCAAAAAAAGTAATCAATGATGCGCAGTTTTTGACATTTTTCCAATGTACCGTAATCGAGCTTTTTTAAAGCTTCCTAATAAATTTGGAGCTAGTAAGGGGCATTAGGAAAATTATCAGAAAAATTGTTGTTTGAACACTGAAACACTTCATACCGCAGTTAAGTAGCAAAAATAAAAAAAACGGGTTTTCAACGTACGTATTTTAACTTTATTAGCTTTCTTAAGCTTCATAATATACGCAGTAGGGTGGAACAGGTTTCGAGCTTTTGCGAAACGGGCTTTAGTGATTTTTCGTCGCAAATTTGCAAGCGAGCACAAAACAGGTTGAAATTGCGAAAATTATAATTTCCTTAGGAAGTAATAAAAGGAGAAAAGGGTAATTGTTCGCAAATTGCGCAGCTCATTAATCATTTGTCAAAGTTCAGCTCTATGTTTCGCTGAGAGATGCCAGTAACAGAAAACATACAAAACGGTTTATTTTGACATGCACCGCATTTTTCTTCAACTAATCGAATCAGTGTTATGATGAATACATTCAGTTTGGCTAACTAACTAACTCGACAGGAATTTCCCGGTATTTTGGGAATTAGATGGCAACCTTGGAAAAGCCGGATTGATTTTTA